TTGATTTTTATTGTATTGTAAATCCTAAATCGGTATAAGTAATTGAACGTTGTTACTGTATTTAAATGATTGGAAGAAGCATTTAATTTAACACAACGTAAAAAAGAAGTCTTATCTGGACACATGCGTGTAAAAGCTGTTATCGGGCAAACAAGTTGGACGGTTTTGTTAAAACGACACCTGCACTGATAAGCGAGAGACAGATGGTAATTAATTTGACTACGTAGTTTGGTTGTTCGTTATTCGTCGGTCATTAACGGGGCGAAAAAACAGAGTAGAGGTGCCAACCGCTTAAATAAGCGGAAAACGTTAACGACGCGACTCTCCGGGCGGTATGTGATTACGTGCGTAACTCATATCACGAAGAATTTTCTTTACGCATTTTGTCCCAAGTTAAACTGATAGACGTGGTCAATCTGTTTACGTCAGAGTTAACTGACAGCAAGTGTCCGTTTCCGTTTAAAAGGTTTGTTTAATAATTTAAATTTGCCGCTCAATCTATGAAAAAATTGCTTTCAGTCAAATCTCAATCACAAGTTCGTCGGATGAGTCGGAAGACTGAATGAAAAGTGTCAAACAAAAAAGGGCGTTTGTTAACGCTGTACCCTAGCAACACAGTCCCGTATAAAAAGCGTTAATAGTAGACTAAAACCCAACGTATAATATACGAATAAATGTCGGCCGGATATTGCTATATTCTTGTAAGATTCTTATGCGTTTATTATTCACATTGATATACGAATTATATGCGTATATGTGTATATTATAGTGGTGTTATATACGTTTATCAAACGAATGCTAGAAAACGGTTATTTATATCCGTTTTATCAACGAAGAACATGAACTCTCTGGTTTATATAACCTATGAATAAAAATCGTATTTTAAACGTAGGTATAAAAGGCGTCTATTCAAAAGCGTATACCATATTACCAATACCGAATTTAAAATGATGGGCAATTAATGTACCGGGTGACCCAATAAGACTGTTCCTCGGCCATATCTCGGGAACCGTTCGTCGTATGACTTAGGGGTAAAAAAAATTATTGGGTAAATCGGTTATGAAGAATCGCTGGAAAATATTTTCAAGTTCTAAAAATGACCACCAGAGGGCGTAACTGCCATCTTAAATTTTCAAATTGCATTTACTTTAAATTTCGCATAATTAACTAAACATTATTTTTTCACATTTTTAAAGGGAACCCGTTTATCTATCATTTTCGTAAAACGTGCAGGTTTTGTGGCGAGGCAGATGAAACTACCGAGCATGTGGTCTGTCACTGTGACGCTTTGATCAGGGACCGATATCAACTCCTTGGAGACAGATACCTGGAACCGAGGAGGGTGAAGCAACTTAGGCTAAACAGGGTCCTATCCTTCATTGAGAGGAACGGGCTCTGAACTCAGTTGCGAAGAAAGGGGGTAGGCACAATGGGCCTCTGGTGTGCCTAAGTGCTGCCCGATCGGGCTCCCCTGCGAATAGAATAGAATAGAATGGCACTTCCTACACCTTTGTCAGTTTTTGATCCATCCGTATATATATATATATATGTTTATGTAAAGGATATTCATCACAGATGTTGTTAAACTCTTGTAAGTATATGTCATTTGTTGTTGTTTCTTTATTATTTTGGAGTAAATCCTTTCTAATAACTACAGGAGGCTTCTCCCACGGTATGGTCTCATAAGGACTGATTTGCAATACGGGTGGGTAAAGTAATAGCCATATTTTGAACTACTTCCCAAAATCTCACACCAGCTGGTCTTGTTTGATACGAGTAGTAATGGCTATTGATATTCAGTATCATGTTGTTTGGGTGAAATGGAATAGCCTTTATTTTTGCCATATACTTCAAAATTAACTGTTCCCTTCTGGTTTCCAGTGATGGTATACCCGATTCACAGTAGAGGCTTTCTATGGGACTTGTGGGAAAGGCCCCTATACAGTACCTTATTGCCGCATTTTAAATTTTGTTTAACTTACCCAGCAAAGATTTGCGTGCTGATGAATAGGCGATACACCCGTAATCAATTTGCGATAGTATCAGTGCTCTGTATATATTCGTAAGTAGTTTTGGCTCCGCACCCCATTTAGTGTGAGCCAAAACTTTTATTATGTTAAGGCTTTTTAGGCACTTCAGTTTCAAGTGTTCTATGTGTGCACGCCATGTTAGAGTTTGATCGAACATCAAGCCAAGGAACTTTGCGGTTTCAGAACATCTGATGGGTTTATCATTTAGATATAAGAGTGGACCATAGTGCGGAGTTCTTCATCTACAAAAGTGGACACACTGCGTTTTTTCCTCAGAAAACACCATTCTCATATTTTTTCCATTTTCGATAATTTGGTTGATCGCAGGCTGGAGCTTCCTAGTTATTTCACCAATTGTCTTTCCAGCACAGAAAATAGCAATATCGTCTACATGCATACATTTCGATATAGAATTTGGTACATTTATAGCTATGTCATTTATTGCCAGGGCAAATAAAATGCAGCTAAGGGTAGAACCCTGAGGAACTCCATTTTCAAGCATCTTTGCATCAGATACTATGTTACCTATCCTCACTCGGAAGCGTCTATCTGATAGGAAGGAATTAATTAATTTAGGTAGGTTTCCTCTGAGGTTTAGCTGGTGCATCTTTTCTAATATTTTGTATCTCCACGTCATGTCATACGCTCCCTTTATATCGAAGAATACGGCCACTAAATGTTCTCGCTTTCGAAAAGCCTCCTGTACTGCAGTTTCAAGAATAAGCAGATGATCGGTGGTCGATCGAAACTTTCTAAAGCCTGCTTGGTAAGATACTAATGCATTTTCTTTTTCTAGCTGCCATTGCAAACCTGTTATTAACCATTCTCTCCAACAGCTTCCCCATGCAGCACGTCAAACTAATCGGACGATAACTTATTGGGTGTAATGGATTTTTCCCAGGTTTATTTATTGGTATTACAATAGCCTCTTTCCATTCGTTGGGGTAAGTACCTTGATACCACAGCTCATTAAATAGTGTTAATAATGTCCGTTTAGTTTCACGTGTGAGGTTATTCAGCATTTCTTTACAGATCTCATCTGGACCTGGTGCTGTTTTTTTCCCATTTCGCATAGCAAACTCCAGTTCCTCAAATGTGAACGGCTCATTATACTCTAGATTGCGGTAAGTATCATAAGATAAATTAACTTCTCTTTCATTCTTTGTGTTATAGAAGTCAGGTTGGTAATTGGCGGAACTGCTGTCATTTGCAAATTTATCAGCCAGTAAGTTGACAATTTCTTGTTCATATCAATTGTAAATGTTTAATTTAATTGACAGGTGGATGGGATTTATCGCTTTTTCTGTGTAGAGATGAATTTTTATTTTTCTTAGAATTTAAGGTATTTAATGTCTGATAAGAAATTGTATAGTGAAATTATTCGACCTCTATTATTTTGGTCTATTAACATACGTTGAGGGGATAGTCTTTGTTGTCAACTGTGTATGATTGGTTGTTATAATTTTGATTTTCGGAAGAAGGGTTATCGCTTTAAATAGGACGTTAAGAGGATGAGCGTTGATTTTGACCAAGTTCAGCGCGGAAATACGTTCCGTTGAAAATTTAAATCGCTTTTAGCCACAGTCAACGAAGAACTACGTTTCGTTGAACTTTTAAATCAGCTTTTTGCTACGTGTAGAGTTACGTTTTGTAGAAGAATTTATTTCGCTTCTTGCCATTTCCATCGTGAATTATTTGTGTTGAAAAGACGGCCAGCTAGTTTGAAGTCGCGGCGAGTATTAAAAGTTTCGTCTAACGTGAATTTGAAGTTTGAAAAAGTTTCGTTTGTAAAGCCGGAAGGCGAATTCGCGGCTAATTACTCGTATTGTTCGACGTTTTAAAGTTTTGGCCATCTAATAAGGTGATTCAAAGAGAGGTTTTGTCGGCGCCCCCATAAGTGTGGTTTTCAACATGACTCATTTTGAGTTTTCTTTTGGAACGTCTTTGCCTAACCGAGGTGAAGTTGCTGTTGCTGCGATTACCCGATATGTCGATAGTGTAAAGTGTAATTGTTTTTTGTGTACCTTTTATTTGGATTACAATTCTCGGACATGTAATGTAAGTAATTAAGTCTTAATTTTAGTATTTTTGTACTATTTGTTTGTGTTTTTGTACCATTTTCCTTGTGTGTGTTAGAATTAAATCGCACTTTTTATAATTGTCACATTCATTTTCCGTGTGTTTCATTCTAACGACTCCATTTCTAATTTATCTGTGTTTTTATTTGAGGCTTGCCCAAGGTCCATTTCAATTACTCAAAATTTTGCAGTTCAGTTTGGAGTTTAAGGTATTTGGTCTGAGGCTGACCCACTATCTGTTAGAAGTTAACCAGATTAACTGAGAGCAGAGTCGAATCTCTCCTCTGTGTTGGGGAGAAGTTTTGTGCTGGCATAATAAGTGAAGGTAAGGAGCTAGCTAGGTTTTTGTTTTGGTGTTTTGTGTACGGTCTTTCTGGCCTACGGACCAGTGCACACAGCAATATTTAAATGGAATTTTGTATGTAGGTACCTCAAATAAAAGTAAAACTAATGTCGAATAAAAAAAACTGTTTTGCGCATGCGCAATCTCAATTTTTTTGTTTGTTAAGGTATTTAAATGAAAATTTGTATGTAGGCACCTTGAGTAAAAGTAATATTAATACCGATTCAAAAATTTGTTTTACAAGCTATGCTGATGTGGTGGGACAGGATCAACCCCTTAAGGTAAAAATTATGTATGCGTGAAGATCTCGAGGATCGTTCGGTATTCAGTTGTATCGGATTTTTGTGTTCAAGATTTGCTCTAATCACCCTTGCGCCCACCTGTGCAGAATCGCGCATATTTGAGCAGTCAGCTTGCCACATTTACCAAATAGGGGTTGCGTTGACATTTTACTTTTTCATTAGTAAGGACCTCCGCATTAAATATCGTTTTTACACTATTTTTAATTTTTAAAGCATTTTAAATGAATGGATAAATGAAAAAATAAAACAAGTGGTTAATGTAACTGTAATATTTGCATTTACAAAAAAAACGGAACCACAAAAATACAGTAAAATCTGCAATTTGATATTTTACCAACGAGAAACGTAGAGGACCGTGCGATTGTTTAATGGTTGTAAACACCTGTAATTGCCTGATAACAGCGAATTTTCCTCCGCGGCTATTCGAAAAAGCGCTAATTGGTCTATACTTATTGGTAAAATAGTTTGGCTGACTATAAATCTCACATTTGGTGAGTAAGGCGGTGTGGTAAGGGATCCTCTATACGTATAATAAGAGAAAGGTTCCTCAAAAAGAAGCTTTTTTAGTTCAAACGGAGCTACTTGATCGCTGCTAATTGCGGCTGTAATGGCGGCGTCGGCAATTGGATCCAGGGCGCTAAATCTAAATTCAGAAACCTAAGGCAGTTGTTGTTATGCGTATCTAGTAATCAATTTTGGAATATACTTACTTTAAATAAGTAGGCCACTACCAAGTATTTATCTGGAACATCTTCATCAATTGCTTCATGTACAGCATGCATCTCAAGTGCGTAAGACTGGCCATCGATTTTGTGCTCGGTGCCAATTGTATTGCTGGGACCGGTTCCCCAATGAAAATGTATCTTAGCAAAACGGTATGGGGGCCACAAGTGCGTATTCAGGATAAGTGGAAGAGTTGACTTTACTGTCAATTTCACTGCAAGGCAAAGGAAAAGGTCATCGCGTTTCATTCCTCCGACATCTCTGACTACAGGGACCCCGGAGGCGGGCTGCTCAGGCTTGCCAGAGCCTCTTCAGCCAAGGAATGTAAGGATAGGTAAAGTTGGGGATGGGAACGGAAGGAACGGAGTTAGGGTGCTGAGGGGGAAGAGTCCTGCTCCAGCATTCGCCTCGTAGATTTCAACATAATGCCAGCATTATGCGAAGCTACGTACGTCTGAGGAAAACTCCTTGTTTACAAAACCCCAGACAGATCAGTCGGCAGCGGGATTCGAACCCACAACCTCCCGAATAGAATCGGTGAGCGCAATCACTGCGCTACGCGCCTCGATTACAAGACGAACAAAGATGCAGGTATTGTACTGTACAGTGTACAGTACATGCCTTCTGTGATGTCACTCAGATCCGGTCGTTGGTCCGTGCTCGTGATTACGGGGAAACTCTTAAACTTTTTCAAATTTGTTTTTGGTATCTTGTAGTACTTATATCTACCTATCTATCAAGAATGTGCACTTCCAATTTCAAGCACAATCGCATGACTCACACGGGACAAAGGCTCGGACAAAGGCCAAGGTGTAAATATTTCACCGACAGTTGGCAACAATGAAATATAAATAAATAAATAAAATTAATTAATTAAAATTAAAAATAAATGAAGTATAGGTATTTTGTGGGGGAGTTTTTTCTTTTATTTCCAGGAATAAAAACGTTACTTATTTGCGAATTTTAATGGGAAAATGTAGGAAATCTATGTATCAGTGTATAATCAATGTCTATTAAATACGGAAGCTCAAGCTCTGTGTTGAGAGGTACTCTCAAAATGAAAATAGAAGATTTGGACAAGATGTATCTGACGGTGGTATCAAAGCTTTCAATCTGAACCTTTTGAAAATGGAGTGTGACTGTGTGAGAATGTGCTCGCAAAGAGAAAATGGAAGATTTTGACGACATATTACTTTAAAACTTCAAATTAAAATATCGCGAGAACGCAGTGTTAGAGGGTAGTTTCAAAGGAAAATAGGTGTGTATGAGACGTATCTGTTGGTGGGCTCACACTCAAGTCCCACTGTCTTTAAAACGTACTGTCGGAAGCCGAATCCGAATACCTTGAAAACGGAATATCGGAAGAGAGTACTCTCACAGAGAAAGAGGGAGGTCTGGTCGAGACGTGAGAGTGTCAAAACTTTATATCTGAATATTTCAAAAACAGTGTAAGATTTTTATCTTCCATTTTGGAACCCCTGGACGAGACGTATCTGTCGGTTTAATTACCCATTCCTTAAGATTTTTGAAATAGAATCTTAATTCCAAGCAAGAAACGTGAAATTTTGCACAACGTTTCATATGGTTGCAAAGATAGATGTGTGCAAAAAAAAGGTTGTGTTGAAAAAAATTTAACCGTTTAAATGAGCAATATCGAACATATTTGCACTAGCTAGACTAAGGAAATAGGATATAGTCAGCAAATTTAGTTAATAATCAGGTGTTGGGTTTAAAATGAATGCGCAAACATGTCTATCATAATTTTTTCTTGTGCATTTTGTTTGGGCTTTTTGACGCGCCCTGTATATTTTCTCATTAGTGCAAAATGAGTAAGAAAAAATATGACAGAGGTGTGCGAGCATTTTTTTTAAAACACTGATTTTTAAATGAACTTATTCCATATTTAGGCGCTCACTGTACATATACTTACATGTAGATCCATCATTCTCCAAAGTCATACTCGATGGGACCTTTTTATATCCTTCGCTCCAACTCAAAGGCTCGCCAAGATAACGAAGAGCATTTTTCGTGATAATGTTGATAGGAGATTGTCTAAGACCCTCTCCAGGCTCTAGTAACGTTTTCTATTATCTTTTCTCCACCATACAATATCAAAGAAACTTACCACATGTTTCGCTAAAGGATGCAGATACAAATGCGAGTAACAGAACTGCGTATAGTAGATACATACTCTACAAAAAGAGATAAAATAAGTTCGCTATTGACAGCTTACGGACAGGAGAAGTAATTATCTCGGATCAGAGCGGTTGACTGTTACAAGATCATTCAAAAACTTTATTTCATCTCTGAAATTTTAACTCATCACTCCTCCACCACCATTGTTTCAAACTTGTATTTTAACGTGAAGATGTCAATTTAAAGAGCAATTAAAAATTCAGAAACGTACACATGTACCGGGTTGCCCAATAAGACTGTTCCTCGGCCATATCTCGGGAACCGTTCGTCGTATGACTTCGGAGTAAAAAAATTATTGGGTAAATCAGTTATGAAGAATCGCCGGAAAATATTTTCAAGTTCTAAAAATGACCACCAAAGGGCGTAACTGCCATCTTAAATTTTAAAATTGCATTTTCTTTAAATTTCGCATAATAAATCTTTTTTTCACATTTTTAAAGAGAACCAGTTTATCTATCATTTTCGTAAAAACAAAAACTGATTTATTTCAAAAACAAAGATGGCGTGGAGCATTCAATTGTTTTTGCAATAACCTGCTTTAACTTTTTAACCCTTTGACCGATTGAAACAAATTTGGTATCGTTCAAAAGAGCATTACTTGGGCAACAAGACTCAAACAAAATATAGTTAATTTAGTTGAATCCTTCTCCGCCAGGGGGCTAGTTTTGACACTATGATCCAAAATCCTCTTAAAAATCAAATGGAATGATATGACTTTTTCTTTATTAAAGAAAAAGTAGCCAAATACCATCTAAAGAGGCAAGTGAAAACCGTTTTTAAAAATCTCGCTCCTAACCTCAAATATGAGGAAAATGAGATTAATTAATTAATTAATATAAATGTTTAATGATTGTTATTTTTTTCTTATTTTTATTTAAACTATAGTTATATGTACAAAGGAAAATAGTTATGGCACAAATATTGTTATAAATAAGAAATCTAGCATTGCGCAGTCTGAACATGCGCACACCTGATGTTTAGAGCATACGATCTAGAAGAATATTTGGTTAAAATTTCAGAAAAAAAAAATCTCTATAAACAAGAAAGTCGACATTGCGCAGTTTGCACATGCACCCATCTAGTTTTTACAATATCCGAGACGCTTGCCTTTACTAGAAGCATCTGTAGTTAAAATTTCAAAAAAAATGTCTCCATAAATACAAAAGTTCACATTGTACCGGGTGACCCAATAAGACTGTTTCTCGGCCATATCTCGGGAACCGTTCGTCGTATGACTTAGGGGTTATTGAGTAAATGGGTCATGCAGAATCGCTGGAAAATATTTTCAAGTTCTAAAAATGAGCACCGGAGGGCGTAACTGCCATCGTAAATTTTAAAATTGCATTTTTTTTTAAATTTCACATAATAAACTAAAAATGTTTGTTTCACATTGTTAAAGAGAACCAGTTTATCATTTTCGTAAAAAAGTTATTTCAAAAACAAAGATGGTGTGGGGCGTTCAATTGTTTTTGCAATAACCTGCTTTAACTTCTTAACCGTTTGACCGATTTTAATCAATTTGGTATCTGATTTTACAATATGCGATACGCTTGTCTTTACTAGAAGTATCTGTGGTTGAAATTTCAAGAAAACATCTATAAATAAGAAAGGTGACATGGTGCAGCCTGCGCATGCGCACATTAATTGTCAATATTTTTCTTGGTTGAGGTGCCAGAGCTATAAGCTAGTGAATGCAAAAAGAGCGAACTACATATATTGAAAACTGTAGGAGTAGTTGCGACCTTGGGCGAACGGACGGAAGGAGAAAGTGGCCATAATAGCGCCTTCTAACATGAGTTGGAAAATGCGCTAACTAGGCAGTTCTATTAAAAAAATCAAGTTACCTTTGATTGAAATTTTGAAAACTGACGAAGGATTTCTTTTTAACACAAAAAAACTTTGAGCGTTCGGTTAGGGGTATTTTAATACAGCACATCATTAGCACACTGCAGAGTCACGGCCTTCTAAATTTTACGATAACGGCGATATTCAATTTTCACTGGATATCTACTTTCTGGAAAAATGACAAATTGCGGCTAAACGATATAATGTGTAATACATAGTCACACTAATGTGACCAAAGAATCAAAATATGCAATAATAAACAGGGGGTTCTAATTTAAAAAATTGCAACTTTGACATACATCCCCCGGAACAACAATTGCAATTTTAATTAAAATGATTTTAGGTTGTAATCTTAAAAGAGTCCTTCCAGATGTCCCGACAATGAATTTTAAATATGTGCGTTAATAAACCCACAAACGTCCATCCACGCACTAATGGCCCACCGTGTATTTTGTGACAGGGCATTCGTTTGAGACAATCTCCAGTTTCAGATGTTGCCCGAATTTTCCTTTCGCTTTTAGTGTCTTATCATTTCAGATCATACTCAAATTATTCTAAAAAATTCATAGATCTCGCAATTATTGCAACTATCGGAAGGTGTTGAAAGCAAATACACTATTACATAATATAATGAACAAGATTTTTATTACGTTAAAAAATAAGAATGAATATGCAAATGGCTAATACAAAAATTCACGGATTTCGCGTAGGATTTCGCTATTCATGCAACTATCGGCGACATTGGAAATAGCCTTTTAACATTCGAGCGTTTCATATACACGTTACATATAAACTTCGAAACTAGCATCCAATAAGTGTTTTCAACACTCAAAGATGTTCTATAGTGGAATTCACATTCAGCTGGGAGTACATGGGTATAGGATAACAGCGATTACAATCCTACTACCATTATACAAAGTTCGATATGATACAAAAATTTATGAGCAAGTAATAGACTTTGGCAAAATTATAGTTATTCTCGGATATAGAAAGCATTGCGGTATCTCTGTAACGCTGCCATCTGAATGTAAAGTCTATATTTTTTAAACCGTTCATTTCTACTATTATTCTTGTAATTTGAAATATTAAAAAAAAGCAAAATTAAGATTTATTTAATGATTATAAGCACTAAGTGTTATCGAACGAGTGCTTTCAGTTTAAGTAGCAACTTTGTCCCAATTATTCAACAATAGGTAGGTATCTCTATTGTGATGAGCGAAAAACGACCTGGCGTCTTAGAGGACTCCTTTCCTTGCTTTCTATTGTAGCATGACCGACAATATATTATTTTTAAACGAGTCTCGTAGTCTTTTCGTTATGAAATGTATCTCGATGTGTAAGTTAAACAAAGAAAAATAATCTCTTGCAAATAATTATGTAACTTAATAAAAAATTTAGGGTGCTATTTAACAAATTTTTATGCATCACGGCGATAAAAAAGCTTTCGACAGTCTTACATCATTTATGCCTAATGTTCATTTGCAAAGTTTTAACGAACTCAAAATAACCGTTTGACGACAAAAAATGTATTAGCTTTTTAACTTTAACATTTTTTTTCTTTGTAATAAAACCTGCCACAATTTTTGTACACAGAAGAATAAGGTTAAAAATAACTTAATACAAATTTTGGGTTATTGAAAAAAAATTCGTGGTTGCGGCCCTCCAATATTTTTTAAAAATTCGGACCGTTATTTCTAATTCTAGTTTTTGTATGCTAATATGCATATCATAATTTGAACAAAAAAACCGTCGAGCCGTTATCTCGGAAAATTTCCAACGTACGCACATACTTACATACAGACGGAAAAAATTATTATTCTTTCAACGTTGCTTAAAATGAACTAAAACGTCGAAATTTGATGAAATATTGACATGTACAAAAAACAGTGATCGGAATGGATGCTGTTCTTTTTACAAAAACAGTCTTCGAATTACCATTTCCCAAAAAAAACTATAATCTTTGTAGTCCCCAAAATATCTTAGGTATGACACGATAATGAATGAACTGGTTGGAAACACATTCAATCAAACAGCTGTGTTTGCGGGTCACCTCCTACTGCTTAGACCAGCCCGGAAGGGGTCGGCGAAATGTTTTTTGTTTTTTTGCAATATTCCGGTTCTAAAGTTTCTAATTCGGAATACACAAAACAGGAAGTGAATTCAAGAAACGTGATGGAATAAAAGAATAACGGAGTCAGATGCATACACGGGAGCGATATGGACGCGTCAAATACCAAAAATGTTTCTTGGATTACGTGCAAGAAACCCATCCCTATAAATTAGGACTTTATGTTATAATATAACCACTACTTCACTGACATCAAATAATTTCTTTGCATAGGTCGTTACAAGGAAATATAACTGTGGCAACGTAATGTATGCTCCAAATATGTTAAATGTTAACTTACCAAGAAATGGTGTCTTCAAAGACGACTGTCAGCAGTAAAGAATCAGTTGTCCTGTCTGTATGGCTTTTATACTTGTAGATGCAGTAAATAGACAAGATTTGTTTTATTGCGCTTTAATTCCTAAATTCCTTTTTTTAATCTCTCAACCATCCAGACTAAATTAAAGTAGTATATCTTTTTTATACTTATCTTTATGTCAACATGGAAGAGCAAATCTTGTGTAATCACTTTATTACAGCAACTTGAGTATCCAACTACACAGTAGGTACACATATGTCGAAACCCAGTGTTACGGCATCACTCATCGGTTGTGGTCATTGAATAAAAACACTATAAGAAGCCTAACGCTTATGGAAGAAAGCGCGACAAATCCCCTTGCACCCGCATTGGTTGTGACCTCCGAACTCTCTTTGCGGTAAATAGGAGGAAAGCAAATTCTCATTCTTCTCAGTTCAAGAATCGACACTATTGACAGTGTTCCCATTATATTCTCAGTTCAATCTCTGTCGCGCTTTATTTCCACGGGGTTAGGCTTCTTATAGTGTTTTTATTCAATGGTTGTGGTGTTTGAAAAGAGTAAACCATTCGAATATCTGTACTATACCGACAATACCCATAGAACTCACTAAAAACAGAATAAAAATAATTTCTCTTTCTATGCGTGTCTGTATGGCTCAAGTGGAGATTAAGCTAGATTAGCATTTAATGCGGTTTATCGCAGATTATAAGATTTTAAGTAATCGGGTGTAATATCACAAGTATTAGTACAATTATTATCGGTGATGATCGATATTTAATATTGTGCTACGAGTTAGACTTAGAGAGAGAATATAGTAAATAACACTAATTGGTACGAACCAAGAATTAGTTCGAGAACATATTATTTTGAACATTATAAACACTGTTGTGTTAGGCAACTTGTGGTTTGTTTAACATATTTTTCACTATTAGCCTAAATGACACGATTATTAACATTTTTGTCACTTATCGTAAAGTTGGCTTTCTCAGCAGTTGCTCAACATTATTAACTAGTAGTCAATAGAGAACTGTCACGCTGTCACTTTTAGAGATTGCTCGACAATCGACTTTAAATTTTTACTAAAAGCAGATGTGCAGGCTCTAGTCTATTTTGAGTTAGATTACTCGTGAGATAGATAATTTTAAACTTTGCTAATGAAATAAGTACTGATCTGCATTACCAAAAATGCGCTTTCATCATGAATATGGGATACGCTCATTTACAACTTGTTTTAACTACTAGTAGGTACTTGAAGTCCTCTAAACTAACATTTACATTACAAACATTACAACTTACGTTACAAAGTAAACGGTTTGACAGAATTTTTTATCTATTAATTTTGCATGTCAATCAAGTGCGTGGCATTAAAAGTCAAGCAGGCCGTATTTTGATGTGTCTTGACATATTTTATTAAAGAGTAATTTCGTTTGAATCTTTTCAAAATGTGACAGTTGAAAGTATGTAAAATATGAAGGAAGTTGCAATTATTCACCTCAGAGAACCTGTCTAAACGTTTATTGAGTGAAATTCCGGGCTGTGATCTTTACAAATTAAAAGTGACAGCGTGACAGTTCTCATTATTGACTAGTACCTGTAGTTAATAATGCGAGATTAACCATGTTAAAACAGCAGTTGTGAAAGCCTACTTTGTAAGTGAAAAAAAGGTTAATAATCATGACATTTTAGGCGAGTACAAATAATATATACCACGATAGAGAAGTCTATTATTACCTTCGCACCTTTCATCCCTAGGCGCTTGGTACTCAGGCTATAGTAGTAGACTTCTCTACCTTGGTGCCTTGGTCTTGACCTTGGTATATAATATACTATTAAATATTTTTTTTTAAATGTGCGTCCGTCTGTCGTTCCGTTCGGACCGCTTCTGCGGTTTTGACTTACTTTTAGGGGAATTGTCCAAGAGTCCTGCAATTTTTCTGCAATAGATACCTAGTCCATACTCTAAAGGTGTATCAGACAGGCTTCAAATTTTGTATCGTTAAAGGGTGGAGACTGAATTATTTCCCGAGATGCTGTTTCGGTGAGTAAAAGGAACTATTTTCTATCTAGTTACCGACTTTTCGCTTACTCCTAATGAAAGGAGGGGGAGCGGGTAGGGACTAGTTTCATTCTTAATGGGACCCTAACAAAAAGTCGGAACGAATTATTTCTACCGACCACCGCCCTCTTCATCGACTCCTCATCGTGATCGGTTATACAGGGAAGGTGATGCTATTATCTCGAAAACTGCCATTTTAAAAATCTTGCAACGTTTGCTTATTTTTTACTAAAATATTTGAACACTTGAAAAATGTCGATTTTCACTTTTTTCCAAATACGAAACGAATTATTTTTTCAAAATATTGCATCAGCATCAAAAAGTACACAACTTTGCCAATTTAACCGAATCTTTAAGTATAAAAATAACAAAGATATCCATGCTATCCTACTCAATTTAAGACACCTTGTATATCTCGGTAAATATAGAATGTATACAAAATTGTTCAATATAAAAATTGTTTAAAATTTTATTTCCTATAATAAGGCAGCATTCCGTTGTTTTTATTTCAGAAAACAAACGAGTAACGAAAAGCAATTGAATTTTTTAAAATGGCAGTGTACCCTTTCACTAGGCTCATTTGATAGAGATTTATTTTTCTTTTCGATGATATACTATGTTAGTGCCTTTATCAAGAAAATTTTTCAAAAATTTTTATTATAATTAGATCAATAACCTTAGTCCAGATATCCTACATCAAAATAAAACAAATGAACGTGTATGTTTGTTGTTATACTTTGAAGACAAAAAGAAATTAGCAGTAAAATGGTTTTCATCGCAATGAATGCTCAAAATCTTCACCATTAGCTGCAAGGCAGTGGCAGGTGGTTATGTATCGTGGCAGTGACCTAACCTATCACAAAAAACTTGAAATAAAATTTTTTTCTACACGGGTGCTAACGTGTTATGTCATTGAAAAGAGAAAAAAAATCTCTATCAAATGAGCCTAATGAAAGTGTGCTGTGCTATTTTCGTCATTCATTTGTTTTCTGAAATAAAAACAATGGAATGCTACCTTATTATGGGAAATAAAATGTTAAACAACTTTCATATAGAAAAATTTTCTATGCAGTCGATATTTACCGAGATATAGGTATATTATATCCATATTCCATGCATATAATAATTCATACATAATAAGCACCCTGTATTATTCCCTATATTTCAAGAGCGAAGTGTCGGAGGAGGGTGCTCACAGAGAGCGAATGACAAGTCTAAAAGAAACATTGGTGGTGTCACAAATTTAAGTCCGAATATTCCAGAACGGTGTGTCGGAGGCAAGTATTGACAACACCAAAATCGTCTGGATAAGGCATATCTGTTGGTCAGGTCGAAACGAATATCTCTAAAACGAAGTGTTGAAGAAGAGTACTCATAAAGGGTAGGTGGAACGTTTGGACGACACACGTGTACTGGTGATGTTAAAACTTTCAGTGCAAATACTTTCACTGGCCGGTTGGAACGTCTGGACAAACATCTAAGGACGCTGTAAAAACTTAAAGTGTGAATATCTTAAAAATGGAGTTTCTGAGCAAACTATATCTACAAAGGGGAAATGCAATATTGTGGAAAATTTTTGTGATTCTTCTTGCGTGATATTGTAGGTCGCATAGACCTTGAATGCGCGTCAGATGGTCTTTAAATGTGGAAAAAACACCCTTTTTTATTAATCATCCACCAACATCAGTAAATTTTGCGGGCTACTGTACCTAGCTTACAATCAAATTATTTACTAAGAAAAAAACGTGGTGCACAATTTATAGATGCGCCTCTGTTTCAATATGCATATAGGATTGCAATGATTTGGAATTGTTATGCCCCGTTATTGTAACGGAGGTTACAATTTTATGGTTAAAGAAGCTAGTATAATATACGAATCAGAATTTGTTACCATCGGCTAGCTCAATATTAATCGCAATTCTCTCTTTTAGCAAGACAGACTGTGCTTCTTTACCTGAAATAAAATCACATCGTGCTCCGAATGAACCCTTTACTTACAGTTCTAAATAAAACAAATATCAAAAAATTTTAATTTCGCCCTATACACCTATATTAAGTAATTCTAAAAAACCAACTTCTCCGTCCATTTACATATTGATTTGATTAACCACCCCTTTATCCTACATAATTACGGGTTAAATAATATCAAATTCTACCCATTATTAACGAGCTCCTAGCGAGTTTATAATTTTGCGGTGTCTGTCCGTCCGTCCGTTAGCACGATAACTCATTAACGAATGGACCGATTACGATGAAATTTTGCAGGTGGATTGTTTATAAAATTTGTAGATCGGAGTTCGTGAATTGGCAATGTAGACCAAAAAATAAAGTAGGCCCTTTTGACATCTCCATTAGTTATGAACCGAATTGCATGGAATTCAATTAGTCCAGTCAAAATAGGAAAATCAGAGGAACTAAAAATACTAGTTCCAATTTTTTCAGAAATGTGTAGGGAGAGGTTCCCTGAACAAGAAAAAATAAAGTCCCTCTAAATTCCGGTGCCGTTGGGGGTAGGAGGGGGCTTTAAACGACCCATTTTTCAGTTTTTCGCTTTTAACTCGAAAATGGTGCGTTACAGTGAAAAAGTTCTTCAGTACAAAATGAAAGCTTATTAAAATTGCTACAAGTTTGGTTATATACATCTTTACGAAAAACTGAACCGTTTTCGACGTTTTCGTGCTACCGGCTCCGGAAAGGTGGGAATTTCTAAACAAAATTGTTTTTCACTCACGTTTTTTGTATATTTTTGGCTTCTAAATCCTCCCCCGGTCATTTTAGGGGAAAATCGTCACAATAAAACCTGTACAGCATTAACATCCCTATAATCCAAACCTGTTGAAGTACGAGTTATCTCCATACCCCATGACTCTATTCCACGAAGGATGCTTCAGGAAAACGAAGAAATCTGCTCTCTATGGGGCTTTCCCTGTGTGCATGGATGCAGTGAACCTCAAAACGATTTACACTGTAGTGGACGGTGGCTTTCTCCTTCACAGAGTCAAGTGGAATGTTGGGACCGCTTTCGCTTTCATCTGTGAGCAGTATGCTTCATATATAATAAATCACTATTCTTCCAATTGTGCAGTTGTATTCGATGGGTACGAGGACATTAATACCATAAAACGGTTCTGTTCTCGAAAAAATGTATACGAGTATAACCAAACTTGTAGCAAATTTAATAAGCTTTCATTTTGTACTGAAGAACTTTTTCACTTCAACGCACCATTTTTGAGTTAAATGCGAAAAACTGAAAAATGGGTCGTTTAAAGCCCCCCCCCCCCTTCCCCCAGCGGCAACGGAATTTGGAGGGACTTTATTTTTTCTTGTTCAGGGAACCTCTCCCTACACATTTCTGAAAAAATTGGAGCTAGTATTTTTAGTTCCTCTGATTGCCCATTTTTGGTCTAAATTGACTGGGCTAAATATGCGCATAGCTTTAGCCATATAAAACACAATGCCAAAAGTTGAGCCTAATCGATCAGCATTCACAGCGCCATTTGCGCATTTCGACCATTTACAGACCGAATCGCAAACTTTCTTATTTATGAAGGTATTTAAGTGAAATTTGATACATAGCCACTTGGAATAAAAGCAAATTTAACACCAGTTTCAAAATTTGGTTTTGCGCATGCGCAGTGCTAACTTTTTTATTTATGGAGGCATTCAAATGAAGTTTTATACATATACACTTTAAATAAAAGCAAAACTAACATCAGGTTTAAAATTTGGTTTTGCACATGCTATAGCCATACCCAGGAGCTCGTTTGCTATATTTGTTTAATTTACAATTTTCAATCAAAAGCTTGACTTGCTGAATCCAACTACAACGTAGTCACTGTTTGAAAATTTTGTATTGGTGGGGAAAGAGAATGTCAAGATACTTCTAGGTGGTAAACACAATTTAAACATGAAAGTGACGGTTGTTAAGAGCTACTATTTAAAATGATAATATTTTTCAACCCTTAAAGGCATGGTAATTCTGGGGTCAGGTTACGTTATACTTTATAAATACAGTACATGCGCACCACGAGGCAAATTTACGTTGATGTGACAACTTACGCTATCGGTAATTTGTTATCGCGTTGCGTAAGGTACAATTACATAGTTTCAAGATAAGCACGTGTTATCGTTGATAAGAAAACAACAGGTGTGCAGTTTGTTTTGAAGCTGGCGTTAATCAAATTTGGTTCTGATTGGTTGTTTATTTACGAAATCTTATTTCTAAGGTGGAGGAGAAAACAAAACATTTCAATTGGTTCGAAAGAAACTTGGCTAGTAGTGCCAACTAGACCGGGGTCTTTGCCGCAACTGGTATAAAAAGAAAAATTACTAAGATATTAAGGGAGGGGAGACAAGTCGACGCTAGGTTGGGCTGCTGTTTAGTCGCTTCTTACGACACGCAATGCCGTCTGCAGTACGGTTTGTGAAGAAAATCTGTAAAGTAGATATTTTATTTGTAAACCTCTGTAATACGTGTTCTAAAATCCCCATGTTAGATGTCGCCTGATGCCGTCCTATTCATTGAAAGTGAAATCTCTCCTTGTACCTTGTGCATATGTGCTCCCCCTTGTCCCCCTGTAATAGACTGAATTTGTATTTCACCAGAACACCTTTTCCCGAGATTACTAACCAACCAGGAAATTATTCCTGTGTATTCTAGACCATAAACAGCCAGAATCATTTTCTATTCACCAGTTAGCTTTCCGTTTAACCGTTGAGGTTTAATTCGTTTACTATTATTTTCGATAGACCTATTAATTTTTATTTAGTTTTGATTTGATTGCCCGCCATACTCACCTGTACTATCCGTAACGTAAAATCTCATAGGTTAAAGTTAAATAAACCTGTATACTTCATGTCAAATAGGGCTGCATTGATCTCTTGCGTTTGTGCTTAGGTCAGTCGACCTGACTCAAACACAATTGTCATCGTTCTCCGTGAGAGATCAAGTGGCTTGTTTATGTGGGGTTGTTTAAGTCTTATCAGGAAAATCCAGGTTAATCGTAATTGACATTTGTAAACAGGGCACCAGAACATTCGACGGGTAATTAAGTGGATGGTTTATTTTATTTGCCAGTACAACATCCGATATTTGACCGCTGCAATAAACCCGCACACTATGTCTCCGTAACCGGTCTTCGTGATCCTGAACGGCGGACGAAACTGAGGTACAATGCGATCAAATATGAGGTGCTGTCGAGTCACCTTTGGAATTTTTGTTTACATGGGAAATCGTATTTAACGTGAACTTCCAAAGGCCACTCGACAGCAACTCATTTTTGATCGCCCGTTATCACCTTGCCTTTATAGTACAGGACACGATAGATCGTGGAACAGGGTCTTATGCCCAACAATGATGCCACATGTTATCAGAATATGATTTGAAGAGAATGGACGTATTTGTAATCTATAAAATCGGCATCGCAACTCCTATAAGGATTGCATTCATTTCCCCATGTTTCCTGTACTGGAAAGACAAGATGAGACAGACTATAGTAGGTATATGTATTTATTATAAATTCTTAAATAGACTCTCTTTTTCCCATAGATTGCCCATAAAGTTAATATGGGAAAACAGTCACAGTACTCACAGTAATACATGCAGAAAATCAAAAACATCCTACGAGTGTAGGACGGTATATAAATTTTACTGTTGGCTTTAATGAGGTGGCTAAATGGTTAAATTTGTGTGCCCAGAAAGCAGATCCTGATATAAAAAGACTAGAATAATCATATCATTCAGCTCGCTCCAATGGCGTGTCTAAATTACCAAAATGTGGAGTTGGCGAGTGGGAACTAGTAAAAATTATGAGGCACCGCTCAGCTTCGTTAATCAAACCTTACCTCCAAATTGGCGAAGAAAACTATTTTCGATCCATTATTAATTGCTTAAGGAACAAATCCGAAAACCCTGGACCATCTTGTTCTGGAAGTTGTCACAAGTAACTTCAGTGCCTTCATCGGGCATCCATAGTTATTATAATTACAATTTCTATAATGTGAGACCATAATTTTACTATTAATACAACATAATAACTTTGTTCTCTTTGAATTAAAGAAAAGTTTCCGCTGAAATTAATGCAAGTGGCAATTTTCGCTAAAATAATGATTTAATTGGCTCTTAATTAAAAACTGCAGCGTTTTTATTGCACAAGAATAAGTGAGTGGACTTTTCTTCTACTCGTAGTACGCAGTAATTACGTCAATTTATGCAATACATTATGGCGCATTAACCTCACTATAAATCAGGTTAACTGGGTGCAGAGCGTAATGACAACTAAAGTAAATTTACTCTTCGCAAATAAACACTGATATAGAGGTCGTATTGGAATTCACTGTGGATAACACGAATACCAATATACCATGTTGTCTAACTCTAAAATAACGGAAATATGAAGAACTGCTCTTCAATTTCGTTGCAACTGCCAATGCCATCTTCAGAAAGGTATCAAACTTTAGGGCTTTAGGTTCATAAGTCAGACCTTTTGTATGTCTGTCCGTTCGCCCAAATAAATCTGGCAGTTATTTTGTAACGACAGTAGGTATGGCATACTTTTTCTATAAATAATTTTCTTTTGCGTTGAAGCAGCTAGCCTCGAGAAATCGCGTTGTGATAAATATTAGTGGTACGGTGGTACCTAGTTTTTTTGTCATAATAATAGGTTGTCAATAAAATAAAAACACCCATAAACCACAATAACATATTCAAGTATCGAACGTCTATCTACTTGAGACACATTGAAATTTGAAGCCGCTGCAGATAGAAATAATTAATGGACACTGGAAGAGTAGGCAGACTTATTGGCTATTGCTCAGGTTGCTTACTTGGAGATGCGTTGGATGTTTTGCGTACGATTCCGGAAAACCAGTAAAAGGATTTTGAACAAATTGTATCAGGGTTGAAAGCTCGATACGGAGATAAACGTTTACAGCAGCTGTATCAAGAGTGATGTGATGACACTTTGAAGTACCGAGAAAGGCGTTGGGCTACATAGCTATGGAAGCCGGATGTTCGAACCTGAGCTGAGGTAAGAATTTTCCATCTGTGGCAGAGATAGGAATTTCCTTACATCAGTTTTTAGCATTCTGCCAACTATTCCGAATTTGGTTTCCTGCAGTTTTCCTAATTCGTAAGGTAAATACCGGAGTAGTGTGGAACAACTTAAGACCTTCTGTAATTGGGCGCAAGCCTGTTGAGGGCTCAGAATAAGAGGAACCATAAATAAATAAATAAATAAATAAATAAATAAATAAATAAATAAATAAATAAATAAATAAATAAATAAATAAATAAAAGATCATCAGCCACATATTGAACCATCCAGGAGCCCTTGGACCTCACCTTGTGGTGTGAAGAAGAAAGATGGCACTAGAGGTTTTGCGTAGATTATAGGCATCTGAACAAAGTAAGAAAGCAAGATAGTTGGTGCCCCGAATCGATGACACGCTAGATAAGCTAACGGGTGCTAAATGGTTTTCCATCTTAGATATGGAAAGCGGTTAATCGCAAGTTGGTCTGAGGATTGTCGGCACTGCTCATAACTAGAGCACAAATATGAAGAACAACACGCACGACGCACTGGACTTTTGGATGATAACTGGGTACCACAAGAACTCCGAACAGCTCAAAAAAGTGACCGTGATTTCGTCTAATAAAATGGAAAATAGAAGGCCAACCTGGGAAGAGATATCTCGATATGGTCAACTTTTAAAGACGTATAATTGGGCTCAGTGGGACAGTTACGGTTGTAAGATGGTCTTCTTAAAAGGGTTGTAGAAATAGACGATGGCACGACAAGTGTGCCATAACTGATACCGGAAAGCAGGAAATCTGAAATACTACGCTATACGACAGATGCAGGATCGTGCGTAATATGCTGGAGGTGCGGTATTCCAGGGCAGGGGAGTGGAAATATTGGTCTGCTGCATTAATCCCAGAGGAACCCCGCAACCGGTTCGTAAGACGGTAGATTGTTTTTAGTGTTGAAATCACTTATACGATGTTAGTTTAGAAGTTTATATGTAACGATTATGTGAAACTTCCGAATGTTGAAAGGTTAGGACGAGGAAAAGATTTGAAATGCGACAACCACAGTTCGTCAAAGTGAATTACTAGTGGTTTGCGATCGGCAGTTTTAAGATATAGAGCATCCTGCCTGCGCATACGTAATCTATAACATTAAGAGTATCACGAGCATGTTATGACGCATATTAACATAGGCACATGGAACAAAAGCAAATCTAAGCCAGTTTCAAAATTTTGCTTTTCGCATGCGCAGTCCCACCTTTCTTATTTATAAATGCATTTAAATGAACATTTATACATAGGCACCTGGAATAAAAGCAAATATAACACCATAGGTTCATCATTTAGTTTTGAGCATGCTATAGTCGCACTCAGGAGCTCGTTTGCTATATTTGTTTGCATATAGCAACTAACCCAATGAATAAGAGTTATTTGTATTAAATAGTATGTTACCATTTCCAATGTCGCCGGAATCTGTGAATTTTTGTATTAGCTATTTCCATATTCATTCATATTTTTTTACCCAAAATCGTCCTGTAACCTTCATTTTCATCCCTACTTTCTGTCAGGGAATTGCAGCTTCCATGCCAGAGGCAGAGCTGACTACGTTTCCTGCCAATTGTCACTTTACTGGCCACACTGTCACTTTACCGGCCGCACCTTCACTTTACCGTCCGCATTTGTGACATTGCTAACTGTCTGTAATGACTTGTCATCACTGACAGATTGACGTTAATCAAAAGTTCTATATGAAAATTGAAAATACGATTTCGGGTAAAATTTAATACAGTCAGTAAAATGACATTACCTGCCTGGGCAATTAAAGTACTCGGCGCAAAATTGGCGTCGTACTTCAATATTTTCGCGCTAGTAATGTATCATTTTCCGGACTTTCATGTAAATAACTATTATTTGTTACTCAGTTGTAAACGTTGATTAACAAGACAAAACGCAAACGGGTAAACGTCATGTTTAAACGCTACTGACTTGTAAAACTGACAGCAGACCTGTAAAAATTTTACAAATTAGTAATCTAGTAATTTCATTGGCCAGAATTAATGCGAAGTCTCTGTTACATGGATAACATGATATTTTAGACATTTCTTCAAGATCAATTTAAGAACTAATTATTTACGTTTAATATTGCTTACAAATGAGTAACAAATAAAATATTGTACATTATACGCCAGGTAATAGTTTTTACTGGCTCTAGGAGATGACAAGCTCGCCTAATGGCTCGCTAGTCAACTTCTCCTATCGCCAGTAAAAACTCACTTATACCTGGCTAATAATGTATTAACGTCATAATAAATCTTGTTCTTGTTCATTATATTATGTAATAGTGTGTTTGTTTTCAACACCTTCCGATAGTTGCAGGAATTGCTAAGTCTGTTAATGTTTCTTGAAGAATGGAAGATGAACGAGGGGGTGTTAGTGCAAGTAAACCCATCTATGTTTCCTCTGCAACCTCGTCGGAGACGTAACAGTTTTATGAGGGGGTAGTATAGCGAATATTCTAGAAATACTGATAGACCTCGAGGCGCCATGAAAGATTTGTCATCGGCAACAAGAACGAAGGCAGATGTGATGTAATCTTTTCAAGAAATATGACGTGTTTTTTCGAGAACATTCTGAAGAAAGAATGTGGTTTGCTATATAAGCAAATTGAATTGTGTTTCGAGTTCAGTTCCAACTTCAACGCGCTTGAGTTATATTAGAAATTGTAAGAGTGATTGAATGATAATTACGTGATTAAATTTACATTAGGTACAATGTTGTTTATAACGAAATTGTTAAACGTATTTGTGTTTATAAGAAACCCGTTTAATTTTTTGCGCATTGTTTGCGTTTTGTCCGTCCGTCCGTCCATCCGACCCACTTCTGCCGTTTCGAACAACCAATTGGTCTCAGATTTTGCTTACGCATGCCTTTAGAGGTACCAAGTGAAACTTTAGCAAATGGGGGGGGGGGGGGGGTAAAGACATGTTCTACCTTTCATGGTATTCTAATGAAAGGTCTCATCAAAATATATTGGTTTGTACAAACTATAACTTTCTCGTGCGACTCTTTTTCAAGATCAGCGAGTCCGAGGGGGGAGGGGGGTTTAAGAATTAATGTTATCTCTCATTGTATTCTAATTAAAGGTCTCAACGAAAGGAACCGTTTTCTACCAAGTACTGCCCTTCTTTCTGTCAAAGTAAGGGAGGGAGGGGGATTGGAACTAGTTTTATCCTTCATGGTACTCTAATGAAAGGTCTCAACGAAAGGAATTAATTTCTACCAACCCTAGCCCTTCTCCTCGACCTCTTATCGTGATCGGGTATATTCCCTTATACCTCAAGAATGGATGGTCGGAGGAGGGTAGGTACTCACAAAGGGCGATTGAGACGTCTGCAAGTAATATATCCATTGGTGATGTCAAAACAAAAGCTATTTCGGTTAAAAAAATGCCCTTTATCTGCACAAGAGTTGTACAATTTATACTTGTTTTGTTGTGCCTTCATTGTTGGGTAATTTTTCTATTTCTTTGGATGAGTTCTATCTCTAGGGGACAGTAGATTTATTTGTGGTTGTTGAGGAGATGAGGAGGCCGATATTAAAATAGGTGAGAGATTTAAATTTTTACGTTCTCCTATAGCTGCCCTTTTGAAAGTCATGGACAGAATCGCAAAAGTAACATTTGAAATCAACTTGGTCGGATGTGATTTCTGTGAGAAGTTAATGTAATATTTTATTTAAGTCTGGGAGTAAAATATAAGTTTTTTGGTAACAAGTGGTTACTTTTCCGAGCAACTTCTACATAATACCATAGTGTAAGAATTCTTACACTATGCTAATACTAACTAAGTTTAAGAACCAAAAGATTTGGTAAAACGTCATTATTGGTGGTGGATTAGTAGGTAACCTGAGAAACGAATTGAGGTAAACCGTTGAAAGGCAGACGTTGGCGTTTTTGTAGATATTTTGGGATATTTTTTAAGCGGTTTGTGACCAGTTAGTACCTTTACACGACACTATTAAGTGATTCTCTACAGGGCTCAAATTTTTCAGATTTTAAATTTCAACTCAATGGGTTTGATTTTGTGGTATCGTTGTCAAGATCCAATCGCGTTAAATACCCTTTGCCACGGAATAGTGAACTATCTCCGTTAACATAGTTACATAGGATTGAGTTGTATTTGTAAACTGATTTCTTTTGGTTTTTCAAGATCAAATTTATGAAGCGCTGATAGAATTATACACTCAAGTTGACAGGTGGTAACTGGTATTATCGTATTTTACGTCAATCGTTTTGAACATACTTCCACATTCTATAATGTACGATCGCAGTACTATCTAAATTCTAGATCTATATTTCCATTACTGATGACTACGAGGAATAATTATTTATTTTACTTACTTAAAGTATATAATACATTTTCGATATGATAACTATACAGATTAAAGATACGACGGCAACAACACATGCATGACTTTCCTATGGTTAGTATCTTGAAGGCATCTGTAATTATTTCTCAACCCTGGATTAATCGAAGCCGCTTGTTGAAAGGCTTCCAGTTGATGTTTGGTGATTGGAAAGTGTGTCGCGGCCACCAAAAATACTACAGATTCCGTGTAAGGAGGAGTCGTAAGCGACCCTTCGTATGTGAAATAAGAAAACGGAATATTGTACAGTAGGTTAATCAATTTAAAGTTTTCAACTGTGCCGTTTCCGTTTATTGTGGCATCCAAAATGGCATCAACGATTTTTTCCATTACAGGATTCTTCTGACGTGACAGCTGAAAGTTATGGCTTTAATGCGGGTACTAAGACTATTAGAATATACCTATACCTGGAATAAATAAGCAACGACGAGAAATTTATCAGTTGTGTTTGATACAGATTGCGTATGAACTGCGTGCATCTCCAAAGGGTAGAAGTGCCCATTGACGTAGTGTTCGCTTCCTTTATTGTTGTCTTCTCCGTCCCCCCAGTGGAAATGTATATGGTTGAACTCGTAAGGAACAGATGTTAAAGGGGCTTTTAAATTAAGAGGCATACTTGATTCCACAGTTAATTTTACTAAAAATAATTATTGTATTAGAATCTGCAAAGGTATAGGTACCTACATATTTGGGGATTGTATGTCGATTTCCAGGAATAGACTATAAGTTGAAAATTCAATTTTTTGAAGGCGACAATGAAAAGAATAGGGTTTTACAAAAATTCCACAGCAAATCTTGTCACCCGGTTAAACTAGTTGAATTTCGTAAAACTCCTATCTCTCAAAGTGCCAATAACGACTAACACCAAAATCTATGACACTTTGCCAGGACATTTAGGTTTCAAAATCAGGTTCGTCGGAAGAATGCGGTTCCAAAGTGTCTTATCTTTAATTATTGAGGCAAAAAATGACCTCCCTCTTTTTTTACGGAAATACTCATTTTGAAACAGGAGTCCGAATCAAACATCTCGATGATGTCAGTCTGTTAGTCGGTCTGTCTGATGTCTGTACCCTCAAATTTCCTTTCCTACTCATTATACTCCAGGTTTGAGCGTTGTTTACAAATAACGTAAGGAGACTCTGCCTTGGATGTTTGATCACGTGTCACTTGTCGATTTCAAATTGAAACAGGATCTGTTTAGCTCTTTGGAGGGAATCTGTTCGGCGCTTGCGTGAAGTTAACCGTGATTTGTTCGGAACTCGATTTTTTCGAAAAGGAAGGGGTGCCATAGTAACGGGTTTTAGTACATTGAAGTACATTGAATTTAGAACCATTGCGATTAATTTTCAGGCCGCCAATTTTTCGCAGCCAACTTCATGGGCGCCTACAAAATGACATATTGATAAATTTTGATAAATTGTGGACCTGGTTTTCGTAAAAACCTTTATCTCATGCCCGAATTAAGTAAAACAATTCCCAACTTCAATAGAACCAGCGGCAGAGAAGCTATGAAATGACTAGAAAAGGTGAATACCAGCGCAAAACTACAGAACTGGTCGCATGAAGTTAAATTGGAAAATGCGAGAATCCACTTAGTGGCGGCGGTTTCACGTTAGGAGAGCGAAAATCCGTTCGTGGCTAGTTTGAATTCGAATTCAAGGCTACTTGACTTACGTGTGACACTCTCGTGGAGACGCATAGAAAAACGTGAAGATGTTGTAGTGTATTTCCATGAAACACTGAGATTGTAGCACGAACCGGCGTGACACTTTTCAAAAATCGTGGCGAGACAAATTATTCGATAGAGAAAACCGAGGAGAAAACGCAAGATTGGATGCCACAGGTAAAGTCAGAGAGCGCAGGTGGCAAACCGAAGCAAGCAGTGAGATATTTCAATTGTCCGTCCGGAGGAATTATTCCAATTAATGTCCGCGTCGGATAGATTATAAATCGTGTTTCCAATGTAAACAACCGGGTCATACAGAGGACATACTTGTAACGAGCACAACCAGAATGTGAACGTTCTGCTGAAAATACAACGGCAAATGTGAGCACGGAGGTACTAATTTCCGAATTCCCATTTAAAGACACGGAAATGGTGGAAACATAACGCGAGTCCGAACAACGAGTGAGAAACCCAGTGTATTGGTAGCAGACGGAATCAATTTGATTGGAACGGTCTGTCCAGGGTTGTCGATAACTGTGCCAGTTATAAACCTTACCAATGACGAGATGGAAATTGGACCCAGGAGAAACTCTAGGTAAAAATACAGTTGCAGAAATTGTGTTTCGCGATTGCTTCGCGTTCTTGCCGAGTTACAGTGTACCGATTTGACGACAGCGACAATAGTTGACAGCAAAATCCCCGTGCGAGAATAACCTTACCGTGCCAGCCTATCTGAGCGGAAAACAAACACAATTGTTAAAGGAGGGGAACGTGGCCTATAGTACTATAGTTACAGAAACGAATTCGTAGTACGCGAGCCCCGGGCTGCTGATTTCAAACAAATTTGGCGAGTCGCGATTAGGGATCGATTATAGTGCATTGAATAGAAACACAGTAAACACTAATTTCCCAATAGCGACGCCCGATGATCAAATGAAAAACTTAAGTGGGAGTCGATCGACTATTCACAACGCTCGGACTCATGAATACTCGTGCGTCCAGGTGCCCCTAGAGTGAGGATTCGACCCCGAAGACCACCTTCATTACCCCCGACACTACAGGACAGTTTGAGAGATTAATTTTTGGTTTAACTAACTCACAGCATGAGTTTAGCCTTTGAATATAAAATTCTATATTCAAAGGTTTAGCTCATCAACATGGCGTTGAGACCATTGAGGAACATAGTGTCGATGTCTTACCTCGACCTATTTTGATCCCCTCGTGCAGGTTGTGATGAAATACTACAGATTGCGTTTGTTTGAGGCTTTGCGATGAGCTAAATTTAAAGTACCAGTTGGGATGGAAGGGACTACTTAGCGTACGTAATAAGTGCCCATGGTATACGTCCTGGGCAAAATAAAACGCGAGCGGTGCCGAATTTCTGCAACCGAAGAATGCACACAAAGTACGGCGGTTCCTAAAACTGACTTCCTACTTTCGGCGTTTCATTCAGAATTACGCGACAACCTCTTAGCAACCTGACGAGGACATCCATCAAGTTCAATTGGAGTCACCGGAAGAACACGACCTTCCAAGATTTGAAGGAAGCTTTGGTGAGGCAAGCAGTTCTAAACTTTATGACAAGAACGCGGCGATCACAGTGTTGTTCACAGACGCTTCAGCCGTGGGATTGGCGGGAATTCTGAGACAAGACTCATATATTACGTAGATATATTACGAGTAAGAAAACTAGCTAGGTGGATAAAAATGATCACTCGTCTAAACTAGAATTGAATGGCAGTGGTTTATTCCGTAATATAAGCAAATTATGAAACTTTATGATTGGCATTAAATTTGTGGTGTCCACGGATTGTGACGCCTTAGGCCGGTCCTACATTGGAAGCGGAATTTCTCCCGACCAGACGGTCTGAGCGGGTCTAGTCGGGTCCGAAGAAAACACACATGACGCACCGTCGCCTCTCCTACACCTTAGGCTACTCCTACATTGGAAGCGCAGTCGATTTGGCCCCCAGACCCGACCCGGCCAGGCCAGACCAGTCCAGACTCAGCGCTCCTACCTTACAGCTAGTTTTCACCAAAGCTTTCATGCAACTGGAAGAAAAAACAAACCTGTTTGATTGTTGTCAGACCAGTTCAGATCCGACTCTCCTCCCCGAAACGTGCACTGGAGTGTAGGAGGGGCGACCAACGGTACGCCATGTGTTTGTTTTCTTCAGACCCGACCAGAACCGCTACTTTGGAAGCGGAATTTCTCCCGACCAGACGGTCGGAGCGGGTCTAGTCGGGAGAAATTCCGCTTCCAAAGTAGGACCGGCCTTAGTGTACTTTTTAAATGAGTTTGACTTGGAGTTAAATTAATTTGCAGAATTTGTATAGTGGCGTAGAGGTCGACATACCCTAAGGTCAACCCAGTGGCCTCGGATAAATGGCCCTAACAGAATCATCATTCAATGATGGACCCTTGGCAGCTTATGGGGAAGATGAAAATGCCGACTGGAAACCACCTGAGTCGCGAGGGACCTAGTGAGCAGTCCAGATACAAAACCCGTTACGGTGCCAAGAATTTTCAGGAGGTAGGCGACATTGTAATGTTGAGAAGAGTTCCAATTTTTACTGGAGAGAGTACCAAAACCCACCTTTGATGGATATTACGAAGGTTCTTCCAAGCAACATTTACAGGGTGAGAACAATCGAGATTGGTGGCTAGCGTCATCATAGAATCACGAACCTATTGCACAGATATATTCCTTGCGTATACACATAATTGTAACCGTAACTTCCGTTACATCATGCACAGTGTAGGTATGTAATGCTCTCACTGTCCGAGTAGGTAAATTCAATCTTGGTTAGCACTACCATTGATTATATACTACGAAATCAATTTTGCTACCTGTCTGATAACCCTCTCTTAGAAATACCGGAGGACGTTATTTGAGCAAACTCGTACAAGCATATTAAACGCCCGCTTATTAACGAGCTCCTAGCGAGTTTATAATTTTGCGCTGTCTGTCCGTCTGTCAGTCCGTTAGCACGATAACTCATAAACGAATGGACCGATTACGAGGAAATTTTGCAGGTGGATTCTTTATCAAATTTGTAGATCGGAGTTCGTGAATTGGCAATGTAGCCCAAAAAATAGGGAAGGCCCTTTTGACATCTCCGTTAGTTATGAACCGAATTGCATGAAAAATTGAGCCTAATCGATCAGCATTCACAATGCCCTTTTCGCATCTCGACCATTTATAAACCGAATTGCACTCTTTTTTATTTATGAAGGTATTTACGCAAAACCTGGCAGACGCACTGGAACAGTGTTCACTCAAAACTTCACGAGATCAATCCAACAGTAAAGCCATTTAAAGCTGCCCCCATGTCCAGGAAAAGTAAAATTATCATTCGAAGACTACGAATCGGACACACAAGATTGACTCACATGCATCTCTTAACCTCCGATCCTCCACCCGTCTGTGAACACTGCAACAATCCACTGACTATAAAACACATCCTTATCGATTACGAACATCATGCAAATACGCTTCCACACACTGAAGAACAGCTTAAATGAAATTCTAAACTCTACCGACCAACTCCGCCATGTGACCAAGTTCCTCCAAAGTATCAATATCTATGACAAAATTTAGCGTATAGCTCTTAGGTTAAGTTTAGAAATGTATGGCTAATACTTGATTGTTCCTGTGTCAATGACCTTTGATGTTGAGACACATTAATTTTAATTAAAAAAAAAAAGAAATTTAATGCATAGCCACTTGTAATAAAAGCAAATTTAACACCAGTTTCAACATTTGATTTTGCGCATGCGCAGTGCCAACTTTCTTATTTATGGAGGGATTTAAATGAAATTTGATACATAACCACTTGGAATTCATGCAAATTTAAGGCCAGTTTCAAAATTTGGTTTTGTGCATGCGCAGTGCCAACTTTCTTATTGACGGAAGGATTTAAATGAAATTTGGTACATAGCTACTTGAAATAAAAGCAAATTTAAAGCCAGTTTCAAAATTTGGTTTTGCGCATGCGCAGTGCCAACTTTCTTATTTATGGAAATATTCAAACGAAATTTGATACATACTACTTGGAATAAAAGCAAACGAATCGCCATTTTCCAAATTTTGTTTTGTGTAGGATGTGCAGTGCCAACTTTCCTACTTATGGAAGCAATTAAATGAAATTTCATAGGTACATATACACTTTAAATAAAAGCAAAACTAACATCAGGTTTAGAATTTGGTTTTGCACATGCTATAGCCATACCCAGGAGCTCGTTTTCTATATTTGTTTAGTTTATTATAATTTCGCTTTCATAGGAACCGATGAATGCAGCAGAGTCGGCCGGGAAGCAAGGTCAGACGTTTCGTTAACTTCACGCAGAAGAAATAGTGACAAGTTCGAGGTCATAAACTGTTTGCGATAGATACGCATAAATTTATACAATTACAAATAAAACGGAAGTTTCCGGGGAAACTGGCATTTCGATTAATGAAACCTCTAACTTAAAAGCGAAAATGAACCAATTTCAGGGTTTAGCCTTGAAATCGTTTGTCCTTTGCGGAAGCGGAGCGCTAAGACTCAATTGATATAAACAAAAAGTTTATTTCCCTATAATCAGTGGCGTAGCTAGTACGTTGGCGCCCGGGGCGCGATCAAGGTTTGGTGCCCTATATACATATTTTAGGAGCTGGTGAACATTTTGAGTTCTCTATCGTTTATTTAAAAAAAAGAGTTCAAATTTCTTATTCTATTCTGGATTTAAGTACTTTTAGAGCGAGCGATTGTTTAGGGGGGGGGAGGGGTTCACCTTTTGACATTATATCTATAAGCTTTCGTTTGATACCTATATGATCCATGTAAAAGATAAACAACACATACTAAAGACAGACAGACACAAAACAAAGTATTTTTTCAATTCTTTGAAGATAATGATAATTAAATTGCTTGATAGGCATCATTGCATGTAAAAGGTTGGAGTATTGAGAACAGAAGTATCTTCGTCATGTATTTTCGCCTCAGTTTTTGTCAGATAAAGTATCTTCAAGTTCGTCGATGGTCATTGTCGTTGCGTACAAAATCAAAATTTAAATGTATTTTCAAACGATTGTTGTTATCGCCTCCTACTTTAGCTATTTTCAAAAACGCTCCTGGATATTATTTGCAGGTATGACGCTGTATAATTAAGGGAAAGTAAATTTTTGTTGATTGTCATTGATTGGGTTGAGTGGAAGAGCAGTCAAGCATGCTTTATGATTGACTGAACTCCGCCCTTAGGCAGTTAGCTTTAATATAGTACATATTATTTAGATATTTACTTTGTACAACTGCCTAATAAAGACATTTATTATTATTATTATTATTATTTGTATTAAAAATAACGATCGAATTTTCTAAGAAATTGATTTGAATTTTTATTGCAAGTATGGAGTAAAAAGCGGATTTTTCGTAGCAACTACAATCCATCCATCTTTATGAAACTTGTAAGATGCAGTTTTAATTGATGTATCTTTTTGTACATTTCTGAAGTTTTAATGCTACCAGTTGTAGCAAAAATATTGTATATATAACTATAAAAATTCAATTATTGAGTTGAATTCAAACATCTGATTTTTTGGGTACGTCGGTACACTATGCGATCAAAAATGAGTTCCTGCCAAGTCACCTTTGGAATTTTTGTTTGCGTGGGAAAACGTACTAAACTTGAACTGCCAAACTTTTAAAAATATCCATATAAATATTAGGACCATTATAGTTCCAAAAGAGTAATAATTAGTATGAAATAAATAAAGTCAAACTTTTAATATATGTCAGTTTGGAATAAATTCAAGTAAAAGAAATCATACTTACACGAATGTCCATCACTAGCCAACATCATACTTTCAGGCATCGTCCCATACCCGGTGCTCCATTGCAAAGGAGGAAGAACCAAGGGAATAGCGTCATTTGTTTTAATATTTATCGGTGACTGTCTTATACCTCTGTGGGGATCTGAAAGATTACAAATAAAGACGAAATCATCATGCGTCTTTAGAAGACTTGCACAATAGTGAACTTAAGGTACCTACACAAATTTTATCGATCCTATTCATTATAAAAAGAAACTCACCACATTCTTGGCTTGTTAATACCTGAATTAATCTAAGTAATACAATTGTAATCGTAAGCATAAACATTATTAAAATATATGTAAATATAAAACGAATGTTAATATACGACCGACCACTGCGCTTAAACGAATTTAAAAAATAACTAATATGCTCCACCATATATTTATAAGAATAAAAGTGAAATTTGTCTGTCAATTAGAGCAATAAATGTTATTTATTAAATTAAAGTTCACCTACAAACTGTGTGAGGTATTATGGTCTACTAAATTCAAAATAAAAAATATTGTTGTATTCATTGTACCTAACGCATAATTTTATTTTAAAATCCTTTTAGGTATCTACTTCCCTCATTTTATTTAAGTAATTTAAGTAATTAGAAATGTACACTAAATGTTACAACACGAGACGATTAAGGATATGAAAAGTCGGATTGCGCGAAGAGAACTCAAAAGTTTATATTATCAACAGATCAAAATTCACGGCATTTGGTTGTATTTACACAATTAATGATCAAACCTACTAATCCCAATTTATCACAAACAATAAAAAGGATGGTTTGATTATTTCACCTATTACATGTAGGTATTAAAAATCCGTGGTACCTTACTTATAGCTTACTTTCCACATATTTTCCCTTACGCTAATAATTTTTTGCTTGAGTATGTTAAAACATCACTAAAATTAAGAAACGATTCTATTGCACAAATTGGGAAATTGCATTGGACAGAGAAAACGACTGCAACTTAAGGATATTTTTGACATTTTGCTTAATATTATTTCCTTTGCTAAATTAAAGTACTATAGTTCCTCCATTTAATCACAACTCTATTCCATTCAAGGTTATAGATTATTATTGTACAGTTAAGTAATGCGTGATTGTACATCCGAAGTTGCTAATTCATTTATGACTAGATTTTCACGATTCAGTTCAGTCTTATCTGACAATTACTTTCTAAGGAAACGAATAAACCTAAAAGCCAGAAAAGCTTAACTGAAATAGGAAAGACCAGTCCTTAGATGAATTAATACATAACAGGTCAAATAAAGGATTGACTGAAATAAGTAACTTGGTTAGATAGGTAATATTTTATAATTTAAACCAATCAAATTTCTTCATTTAATCAGTCAACTCAGCTGGACGTTGAACTATCGTGGTACAAACGCCCCTAAGAAGTAAATTGTCAATAACTTACCGATGAAAACCTCCCAAGAACCTAAGCAGCAAGCAGGCAATAGTAGGATTTTTCTTAGTTTGCACGCAATCGGTGTATTATGACGTCATCACTAAGTATGTTTACATAGCATCATGGAATCAATAGAAGAGAATACGTGTGTGGGCAGCCATACAAACAGTGCTGCATTGAGGGTATTCATCGCATCAACGACTTCTATTGGTCACTATTTGCAATAGGTGCCTATGTCGCGATCTTTTACTAACAAGGTGGATATTATTAGTTAGACATTTAATAAATCATTTTTTTCACTACTAGCGTCTGATGACATGATTATTAACCTTTTTTCCACTTGTAAAGTAGGCTTTCTCGGCATTTGTTCAAAGTGGTTAATAATTTTTTATTATTAACTAGTAGTCAATAATGAGAACTGTCACGCTGTCACTTTTAGAAAACACAACCCGAAATTTCGCTCAATGAACGTTTAGACAAGTTCTCTAAAACGAATAATTGCCACCATTCGCAATTTCCAGAGAAATTACATACCTAAAATTATCACATTTTGAAAAAATTCGAACGAAATTACTCTTTGAAAAATCTCAATGACAGAACAAAATACGGCCTATTTGACTTGTACTTCCACGTACTTGATTGACATGTTAAATTAATAAACAAAAATTCTGTCCAACCGTTAACTCTCTTATCAATATAATATGTTAATTTAGAGGATTTCAAGTGCTAGTAGTGAAAAAAATAGTATATATACCACGGTAGAGAAGTCTATTATTGCCTTCGCACCTTACACCCCTCGGCGCAAGCGCCTCGAGATGTAATCTTGGTGCTCAGGCAATAATACTGGACTTCTCTACCTTGATATATAATGTACTATTTAATGATAATAACGCCCACAGTACTTAGCAGCAAAAGTGGAGAAGCTACTGAAATCTCGACTTACCCCATACTCACGAGCAGAGCCACCGCTACTTTCAAGTGAAAACGGCGGACGTTTCGCGGCACTTTCGAATCTTAGCAGTCGGTTTTAAATCTGGTGGTTCTTTTTATACACAAATGGGAAAGGAAATTGAATAAAAAAACCCATAATTTTGTACGTAAGGGAAATATTTTTCGGGTCAAAAATTCTAGCATAGTCTACACAAATACACGAACTAAATTAGCAAAGACAACACAAGCAAAAGAAAATCCACAAAATATTTCAGATTGTGTAACAGTAAAAATCAGGTCACGAATTTCCAAATCCTAGGAACGGAACGTCATATGTTTTCTTATTCCTTCCTTCCTTCCTTCGTTCCTTGTTCGTTCGTCCGTTCGTTCGTTCGTGTTTTCGTTCGTTCGTTGGTTCGTTCGTTCGTTCGTTCGTCGGTCGTTCGTTCGTTCGTTCGTTCGTTCGCTCGCTCGCTCGCTCCCTCCCTTCCACTTCCACTCCCACTTCCACGTCCACGCCCACTTCCACTTCAACTTCCACTTGCTCTTGCTATTGCTCTTGCTCTTTCTCTTGCTCTTCCTCTTGCTCGCTCTCGCCCTCGCCCTGGTCCTCGTCCTCTTCCTCCTTCATCTTCCTCTTGCTCTTGCTCTTGTTCTTGCTCTTGCTCTTGCTATTCCTCTTCCTCTTGCTCTTGCTCTTGTTCTTGCTCTTGCTCTTGCTATTCCTTTTCCTCTTCCTCTTCCTCTTCCTCTTCCTCTTCCTCTTCCTCTTCCTCTTCCTCTTCCTCTTCTCTTCCTCTTCCTCTTCCTCTTTCTCTTGCTCTTCCTCTTGCTCGCCTCTCGCCCTCGCCCTGGTCCTCTCCTCTTCCTCCTTCATCTTCTCTTGCTCTTCCTCTTCCTCTTCCTCTTCCTCTTCCTCTTCCTCTTCCTCTTCCTCTTCCTCTTCCTCTTCCTCTTCCGCTTCCTCTTCCTCTTCCTCTTCCTCTTCCTCTTCCTCTTCCTCTTCCTCTTCCTCTTCCTCTTCCTCTTCCTCTTCCTCTTCCTCTTCCTCTTCCTCTTCCTCTTCCCCTTCCTCTTCCTCTTCCTCTTCTTCTTCTTCTTCCTCTTCCTCTTCTTCTTCTGTACTGACAGTCCAAGTGGCTATGTATCAAATTTCATTTAAATCTCTCCATAAATAAGAAAGTTGGCACCGCGCATGCGCAAAAAGAAATTTTGAAACTGGCGTTATATTTGCTTTTATTCCAAGTGGCTATGTATCAAATTTTATTTAAATGCCCAATGGTTATATTTCTTCCAAACGTCCCAATCGCCCTTTGTAGGTACTTTCCTTTGACTATTCACTTTTAAGATATAAGGAATTATAACCGATCACGACAAGGGATCAAGGAGGAAAACTATTGTTAGTATAAATTAATTCCTTTCGTTGAGACCTTTCATTAGAGTACCATGAAGGATAAAACTAGTTCCACTCCCCCCCTTCCCTCTCCACCCCGTATTTTAATAAGAGGACAAAAAGAAGGGCAGTAGTTTGTAGAAAACTGTTCCTTTCGTTGAGACCTTTAATTAGAATACAATGAGAGATAAAATTAATTTTTAACCCCCTCCCCCCTTCCTCCCCCTTCAGGCCCCGTCACTCACTGGTCTCGAAAAAGAGTCGCACGGGAAAGTTATAGTTTGTACAAACCAAATTATTTCGATGAGACATTAGAATACCATGAAGGGTAGAACATGTGTTGACCCCCCCTCCCCCATTTTCTAAAGTTTAACTTGGTACCACTGAAGGCATGCGTATGCAAAATCTGAGACCAATTGGTTGTCGTATGTAAAAGTTATGCACGTTTTACTTTCAAAAACAGCATCTCAGGAAATAATTCGTGGGGGGGGGGCCCCCTTTTAGACAGCGAAATTTGATGGCCATCTGGCACACCTTCAAGGTATAGGCTACCTACTGCAAAAAATTCCAGGACTCTAGGACCATTCCCCTAGAAGTAGTTCAAAACGGTAGAAGTGGGTCCGGACGGACGGACAAAACGCAAACAATAGCACATTTTTTTATTTCTGAAAAAATGCGCTGAAAATCACTCTAAAATCCTATCATGCAGCTATATGATATCTTACACTATTATATATTTAAGTTAATGGCGTCAAATCCTTGACGTACACAGTCCTGTATTGAGTAATATGCTTTTCTTACTTACACTTTAAAATCCAAATGTTTATCACTTATAATTGCACAAGAGGTTTGTATTTTACCGAGTAAATTTGGGTTGTTTAGGTAATGAAAATCTGTTGCCTAGCAATTAGACGAGAAAAACTGTCAACTAATAAAAATGCGACACCGTAGGTAGAGCATTTTTAGGTTGACAGTTTTTCGAGTCCAATTGCTAAAAGGAAACAGATTTGAATTGCCACACCCAAATTTACTCGGTTTAAACACAAACCGCGAGTGTAATTCGGCAGGACAATTTAACGAACAAGAAATTCACTAAGGGCCGATTCTACAATGCAGGTATGTACTGAGAATAAGCTATACCTCGAATAAACGTCGACAGTTGCGTTGGTTACCATTGCGTCAACCAATGGGACACTTGTTACTATGGCAATTATACCAAGAATATCTTATTCTGCGAATAGGTGTAATTGTAAAACCGGCCCTAAACCACAGATCTACATATACAACAGCTTGCTAACCTTATGCATTTTTTGGGAAACACATTTAGGTACATAGATATATAAATACATAGATACAGCCATACTCCAACATAGTTCAAAAGGACGTACCATCTATTACCATCACTTTCGGCACATTAATTACGTATAGCGCTATCCTTTATAGAGGTACCCTGAGCATGGAAGACAAGATTCGCATTATTTATTATAACTGTCAATCAAATTGTTAGCACAAATCACACAGAAAATTATCAGATTTGAGACTTT